AAACTCCCATCTCAGAAAATCGTAGGCTTTTTCCAGGTCAATTTTAATTACCATATATCCCTTCCGACCGGTTTTGGTACGCATGGAATGAATGAGCTCTTGAGCGATCACTATATTATCCGTTATCTGGCGCCCTGGAACGAAGCTCGATTGAGCCTGGCCTATTAAACGAGGGAGGACTGGTTTCATTCTGCTAACAAGTACCTTAGTAATGAGCTTGTAAACTACATTAAGAAGGCTAATCGGGCGAAATTGCTGAATCGATTCAGGATTCTCCACCTTAGGGATAATTACCAGTAGAGTTTTATTCAGCTCTGTGGGCATGACACCATCCCGAAACACACCCCGAATTAAATCACATACCTTCGCCCCGACACTTCCCCATTGTCGCTGAAAGAACAAAGCATGGAGGCCATCTGGGCCGGGAGCCTTGAGTGGTTGCATCGCTTTTAACGCAGATACAATTTCCAGGTCTCCAACATCCCGTGTCATGGGAGTGAAAAACCGATCATTGAGCTGGGGAAATAAATTAGGAATTTCCATTGGCTGACCAGGCACACCTGCGGTGTAAATACCTCGAAAGTAGGCCACTGCAGTCGACTTCAGTTCATCCTGGTCAGCAACCCGAACGCCGTTAGCGTCGTGAAGAAACAAAATTTTATTGCGATTGCGGCGGTGTTTCACTTGACGATGGTAGTATGCGGTGTTACGATCGCCAAAGAGAGTCCAGTCCCTCGTAGACTTCTGTAGCATTAATAATTCTTCCTGCAACGAGACCTCTTCCAATTCTTTGCATAAAGTCGCTTCTAGGATAAGGAGTCGTGGAGTAGTATATTTTTGTAGTTCTCTTTGTGCTCCTGTTAGTCTCCTGAGCAGTCTTTTTTTCCGGGTAAAAATATTCCCAAAAATATGAGAATTCCACTCGGAAGCCTGTGTCTGGAAGGAATGAGCAGCTTCAAAATAACTTTGCCCAACCCAAGATTGTTTCACAAGCTCAGGGAACCCATCATGTAAAAGCCATGCTGCAAGGAATTTGAAAGGTTTCCTTCTTTGAGGTGGCGTGTGATGCTCCAAACACTGTACAAGAAGAGGAAAGTGGTCAGAATTGGTCCGAGGGAGATGTTGGACTAACCCCAGTTGGAATTTATCCATCCATGCCGAATTTGCTATGAATCGATCTAGTTTCTGCTGCAGGCCTCCTCGTTCCCATGTGAATAAGAAGCCATCTGTACGAACCTCATGAAGATCATAGTCAAATATCCATTCCGAAAAATCGTGGTTAGTAGATATACGATTGGGTGCACCCCCACGTCTTTCATCTTGCCGGAGAATACAATTAAAGTCCCCTCCGATAAGCCATGGATCTTTTATTCTCGCCGCTAGGTCTCGTAGCTCCGGCCATAACAGACGTCGAGTTGTTGGGTTTGGGCTAGCATAGACAAATGTAACCAAAACTTCCACTCCATCTTTGCTCACACGAGTGTGTGCATACTGGCGATGGCATTTCAGCACTTCAACATGCGTTCTCCCTTTCCACAATATCCATATGCCTCCGGAAAACCCGGAAGCTTCAATTCGGAAAGAACAATCAAACCCACTTCTTCGAATAAATTTATCAGCAGTAATACGGCTTATACGAGGCTCAAAAATAGCAAAAACATCCGGCCGATAGTGATGTGTGATGTTAGAGAAAGCTCGGAAAAAACCCTCCGAAGCTGCTCCTTGAACGTTCCAAGAGATTAAATTCATTAGGAAACTAGTAGTTAGATATAGTGACACTCGTCAGATCGAACTAGGAACCTGTGAAATCTAGATTCCATCCTCAGTCATGTGGCCACCTTCTCCATCCTGATATTCCTCTGAATTGTCCTGCCGCTGAATATCCGGTGGTTCTATCTGCATAGTATCCCCTGGGTCTAATAAGTCAACTGCAACTCCAGTTGGACTTGATTGGTTTGGGTTCTCAACAATTTGTACTGCTCGATGTCGCAAAGGGTCCAAACCTGACGTCACGGGTACTACTACGTGGGACTCCTCCATCAACTTTAGCCCGTTACCAATATTTGATTCCACCCCGTCTACTGAGGCTAGTGCACGTTTTGGTTCTTGCATGTTCATCCTATTTTGAATCCCCTTAGTCCCCTTTAGCTGCCCTCTTTGATTTGATTGAGATAGTCGTCCTTCATTCCCATTGACCGGTTCCTTATCATTTCCTCCTCTCCCTTTATTCCCCTTTTTTGGCCCAGCTACATGCCACTCATTATCTCCCTTTTTATTAGCATTCATTGAACCCACCCTCTCCTGTACTGTCTCTCCCTCCTTGTGTCTTTTTTGGAAAGATGTCTCAGGTGCAATGAAAACACTTTTCCCCTTATCATTGCCATTAAAAACGGTCCCCGTAATAGGGACGGCCTCCTGACCTACATCATCATCCCCATTATTCTCCGATAATGCCGCAAATCTACCATTACCCTGCACTACCTCACCATGTTTAGGATGATACACCCCAGCAGTTCTTTTGCTTCTAGGTTGAAGCCAGCCCCCAGTGTTTGCCCTTATCCATGGTCCAAATTGCTTCTCACCCTCTTGAGCACCATCTCCAGACGATGTGCCTCCGCCTGATGAATTAGCAGATGGTCCAGCACCCCCTGACCCAGTCGCCTTGGCAGTCGCGGGTCGACTAGGACAAGTAAAGGAAGTATGTCCACATATTCCACATGTATAGCATATATCTGGTAACATCTCATATTGCACTTTCTGAGGTCTACCTCGTATTGTAAAATGAGTACATAGAGGCTTTGTCAAATCTAAGCAGACTGCCAGACGGGCAAATTTACCGCGGGATTGGTCTGCCGTTTGGTGGTCAATCTTCACTACCTTTCCCACGATACAACCCACATTGCGGAAAATTTTATTGTGGTAAAGATGTATCGGCAAACCTGGTAATCGAATCCAAGCAATCGTGGATTTTATTTCGTTGTTTTCCCCGTCAAAAGACTCTTCCCAAGGCTGAACGTGGAGATAATGTTTCCGTATAATCCACGGTCCCCCTACCAGCACAGACACCGCATCTTCATGAGTTCGGAATTGGATCATGAAGTGTCCATTTTCAGCGTCGATTATAGGACAACCTTTCATGAACGGCCAGATTTCCACAAGTTTCGCGTGTAAGGTTGCCATCCGCATATTAAGCCCCAATAACTTTACCACCACAACATTGCTAAATGCTTTGATTCGAGCTTCGAAAAAGCTTTCCTTCATTTGAATGTCTGGGACGGGCTTCGTAAAATCAACCGTGACTTCATCAGCCAAATCATCCCCCTCATCAGCGTAATCAAGAAGAACATGAGGTCGGTTTTTGTTCAATGTATCCCTGAAACTTAAGGGAGGCACTGGCAGGGTAGTCTCAGGCTTTTTCGGAGCATTTGGGGATCCTGATTCAATTAGTGAATTATGTTGTTCTGGAAGCAATTCAGCAGTGGAGCGTCTTTTTTTCAGCGATCTGGAGTTTATCGATGAAGGAGGGTTCGCTACAGTGAGTTCCGGGAAAGGATCCGGCGGGTCAACACGGGGATCGACCGGTTTCTGGATTTCGCTACAGGAGGGTTCGCTTGGATCATTAGAATTACTGTAATTTTAGTACGTGAAACGTGTTGTTTAAATTTGAGTTCCAAATATAAAAATTAAATAATTAATTATTCATAAATTACAGATCAATATTAACTTCGACGTAAATGAAAAATTATGTTATTTATAGTTTAATAAATTACTCAACTACTTTAAAAAAATTCAAATAAAAAAATTGAAAACTTACTTATATTTATTTTTTAATATGTATATTAAATACTTTGATGTGAATAACATATTTGTCGCGCACCATCGTGTTTTGAAGCTAAATCATATATATTTGGAATTGCCATGGAAAATAGTAGTAAATAGAGGCAAAAGCGTAAAACTGTAGGGTTGAATACATTAAGTACATGTATAAGGAGCATAAGAAAATCGATAGTTAAGTTTATTATGTATTTACTTTTTGATTGTATGGTCCTGAATGATGTGTTCTTTTTATTTCCTAGACATAATTTTTGGGTTGTATGATAATGTTGGATGTTTATTTATTGATGGTTTATTTTGGTATTTGTACTTTCTACAATTAACTTAATCTATGAAGTTTTTAAGAAGTTTTTTTAGAGCATTTGTTTTTTTTTCCTTTTCTACAATTATTTATGTTGAACGTTCGTAATGATATAGCTTCAAGTTTGATGACATCTAGACGTCGTTCTTAGAGCATTTGTTTTTTTTTTCCTTTTCATTTATTTTTGTTTTTTAATTATAATAGCGGATATTACAATTGAGTCACATTTATATTTTGCATTAGTATGACTTGTTGTTGGCTTTGTTTATATGACGTGAACTTATTTACTCGATTATGAAATATTTTCATTTTATTATTATTTATATTTTTTATCATATTTAAATCACTTTAATAAATATTTAAAATATTAACTATTTCCATTTTCTAAATAATTATAGGTTCAACATAAATTAGAGTGATAAATTATGTTGATGTCCTTATAAGTAGTTTTACATGTTAACAGCCATTTAAAAAAGCTAATTTTATCAAACAATTTTTTACAAACCGCTAACACGATTGTCAAAACAACTAATTCAATCTACAAGTCAAAACAGCTAATACAATCAGCTAACAGCTAACCGCTGATTACCAAACAAAACTATAGTTAAAAACAAACCAAATAAAAACTAGTTGAATCTATATACAATCAACCCTTAATGTTCAAGTATCAAGTCCAGTAGAATAAAAATTAAAAAGGAACAAAAAAATAGTTACAACATGTAAGACTACAGTCCTGAATCGTTGAATTGTTAAAAATAGTGATGGAATGATTCCACAGTGGTACTGTTTAAAGTGTCGTTTGTAAATTTCAGAGTCAAATTGCTTACAAAGTCTAGCGAGAAAAAAACCCCTGAAAAGAAAAGTGATGGCCGCGGTCACACATCTATCCAATTTGTGCTTCTCAAATGTCTCAACGAAGACGACAGCGCGTAGCAACCAACCATCGGTGACTTCTCCTTTATCACTCGTCGAGGCCCGTACGATTCGCCGTAAAGCTTTCCCCGTCTGTCGGATTCGCAGCGAACGGAAGCCCTCACCTTGCCGTCCGACGAGCACTGGCCGTACGACGGCGCAAACAACTCCACCCTCCTCTTCCCCAACATCATATCCTTGGCTGATGCTCCCCCCCGTCTTGGAACCCGACTCCACCACCACCGCGGCTTACAATATCTACAGCCTGGCCGAGAATCGGGTCGTAACCCTAACCTGCGAAGGTGCGGCCCGAGAAGTCACCGGCAGCGGCGATGTGATGCACTTCAGGGGCTCCTCCCACGGCTGGGTCGCCCTCTGGAACCCCCGCACCCACGATATGTTCCTCTACAACCCCATCTCCCGCCGCCACATAACCCTTCCCCCATTTCACCAACTCCCCAATTACAACCACAGACAGGATTACGACCCGTTTCGCGTCGAGAAGATCATCCTCTCCTCCTCCCCAGACGACCAAACCTGCCGGGCCGTGATTATCTACAAATTGGAGGGAATGATGGGCTTCTGCTGCCCGGGCCGTGGAGGGAATGACAAATGGGCTCCAATGGCTGACGTCAGGAGCTGGTGGAGCCCGGACGACAGGACGGCCCCATATAGCAGCTACAAGGACTGCGTCTACTCCCAGGCCCATGGGCTCTTCTTCGCCTTGACACAATGCCGCTGCTTGGACTCTTGGGACCTTCATGACCCGTCTTCCCCTGTCTCGACTCGGATTGCAGACCGAATGAGTCTACGCGGGTCTCCCAAGTGGGCCCACAAGCCCAAGACCCGGATGGTGGTTGCGGGCCGGGACATCCTGTTTGTGACTCCACATAGGACAGACATATTGGACTAGGAGGAGGGATTGTGTGGGGAAGATTACAGGATCTTAGAGCAATATCCCCCGAGTGTGACTATTGATTTCGATGTGGACAGATATGAGGCGGAGTGTGGGGATCTGGTGAGGTGCTCCTCTCTCGGGAATTGGGCTGTTTTCGTGGGGAACTGCAGCCACGCGGTTGCGGCCCAGCTGCCTGGGTTCAGGCCCAACTCCATTTACTTCACAGATTTGGAAGACACCGAGGTGTTTAAGGATGAACGGATCAACGGCCACGACATTGGCATTTTGGATTACGAGAAGAAGACTGTGTCACCGTGTTATTTATCCCGTGGATGCCCGGAGACTCGAGAAGATTTTCCCGCCGCCAATGTGGTTCTTCCCCAGCCAAGAGTGAGTAGCGTGTACTCGTTTGGGATTTTTAAAGGATTTTAGGAATATTTAACTTGGACTTTTTGAAGACTTTATAAAGTCTTCATTTGAGATTTTTAAAAAGTCTTGTTGAGTATTTGTTAACGTATTTGAGATTGAAATTTGTTACACATTTTTAAGCTTTTCAGCTGAAAGAATAAAACCTTTGTACGAAATCTCATTCCAAATCCATAATAAGATTTTCGTAGGATTCCTGAAAATTTTCAAGTCTCAAATCTTAAAGTCTTAAAATGTCACTCAAAATTCCAAACGAATACTATCATCCTCTCCGGACTTGTTTTCATTCTAGAGTAGGTAAGTTTTTTTTTTCATTTATATACTTCATGCTTGAATATTATTGTGTCAGTATAACAGTTGGCCACATTTGTGCACATCGCTCTATGATGCTCGCTCAGAACTTTGGTTATTTGATGAACGGAGGATGAAAAATTTGGTCTTTTAAAATCTTGTTAGGTTAGCTAACTATGTCTATATGGCATGGCATCATCAAGAATTATGATTCACGTAAGCAAAATTGGGAGGCTTGTTTTATACCCGGCCAAGTTATGTAACTGTTTTATTTCAACTCACATTGGTTTGATTCTAGAGATACTTTCGAGGGAGGGACCTTCTCCAATAAGTGACCACCGATTTGAAAGCTTTAGATAAATCTCCTGGCAAAGCATGTGTAATTTTTTTTACACATTGATCTTATCAATTACATAAATCTAAATGAAGGTGTAGAGTCGGTTTGCAAAGGATTTGGCTTACACAGTCGCTGCAGAAATGGACAATTTTTACTTATTTTTCTCTCTTTCTCCTCCCTTTCCCTTTTTTCAGTGATTATTGGTGATAGTTGGTAATATTCATGGTTTTGTGGCCTATTTTGATTTGATGCTTGAAGTTTTCGTTTAGTCAACATCCGGGTAAGAAGAATGGCCGGTTCTTTGGAAATGGGTCCACATGGTTTAGTTTCAACAGCTGTCTATATCATTGGGTTCATATAATTTTTTTATCACATTATTTTAGAATGTGCTAAAGCAAAATAATGTAAAAATTTTGTCGTTTAAAGTAACATAGTGCNAACTGCAAGAATAATTTTATATGGTTCATCTCGTTAATATTTACTAACGAATCGAACTCGAGCTCGATTAATAACTCATTTAAATAACAACCCAAGCTCGACTCTCTGCTCGACTTGTTAATGGGCTCGAGCTCGAGTATCATGAGTTTGAGTTCGAGGGAAATAAACCTTTATTTATCAATCTGACTAGCCTTATAAGCTGATCTAACTAAACGAGCCTTAAACAAGCTCAAACACGACGTCTTTATCAGACGAGCCAAACTAGTAAATCACAATCTCATGATCAGGTTTAAAGCTCGACGGCAACTGCCCGACGGACCCCACATTCAACAATTATGCTCATAAGCTTGATGGAAGCATGGTCAAGGCAAAAAATATATATGTTTGACTAATGGTTAAGCTTGTTAGAAGAGCTATCGAATAACATAAAAACTATTGTTAGATAACCGTATTTTTTAAGTTATATATAATGTTAAATTGAAATGTCATATTCTACAAATCAATGTATATAAAAGTATGACATTGTATAACGTATACATTTATTTTTGTCACAAAGATATGGAGTTGGATTTGATCAGTAATGCAGTTAGTCTAGTACTATACTCTAAGAGTAGAAAATGAAGAACAAGCATTTAATTACATAAATCGTTGAATTATTGCTCGTTTACAAGTTGAATGTGCACATTCACATAATGAATGACGCACAATTAGATGATGAAAGCATGTTCATTTCCATCTATTTTTTTTTTTTTTAAATAAAATGTTCATTTCCGCATCAATTGACATCCATTAGATCACGATTGATGGGTGTGATTAATTTCTACACTCTCATTTTATTAATTTCCATTTAAACCACTCTCTATTTTGTGATTATATAACGGATCAACTGGTATTAAAACTGTTAAATGAAGCAAGTCGCTCGTGAGCTCGACTCGACTCGATAAGACGCGTAAATATAATTTTTTTATAATTTGGCTCGTTAAAGTTCCATTTCAACTCGTTAATATTGATAAACGAGTCAAGCTCGAACTCGATTATAAGCTCGTTAAGAGCTCGAGCTTGACCCGTTTAGAATTTTTTCACTGCTGAATTCAAAACATATATATTTAAGTATCAAAATGATTGTGTTGATCAAACCATGATAAAAGTTTAGTTACTACATTATATTAATATACACACCATCATCCAGCACCATAAAACACCAATAAACACATAAATTTGGACAATTTTTAAAGTCTTTCTTGTATTTTTATCAACACAGACATATACAAAATTCCAAACTGAACAATCATACTATATAAAAAAATTGATATTTCATGAAATAAAATGTGCATTTTTATCACAAAAATATTACATGTCCACTTGTTTATCAATTAGACCATGCAATAATTTGTGACCGAAAAGGACCGTCTTGTCATTAAATACAAGGAATTGACAATAGTTCGCCAAGGTGGTTGATAAACAGAGCAATAGAGAAGAGCACGTGATGAAATTGATGCCAGTTTTCAATAATTAATTAACTATAATTATGTACGAGTTGCGCTATAGCCATTTCAACTTTCAAGCAAGAAAATCCACAGCAAAACAAGGAATAAAATAAATAAAAATAAAAGAAATGGAAGAAAACACAGAGCCGCTAATTAAGAACAAAAAACGAAAAGACTACGATGAAAATTGCGAGGCTTGCAAGGTTCAAAAGTTCAAGGAATCGAACAATGGGATACCCTTTAAGCTTCTGCTTTATGTCTGGATTGTCACTCTTTCAGCAGGTGGGTTCTTCNGTTTTTGCTTGAAAATTTCTCAGTGACGGTCGAATGTCTTAACGTTTGTTGTTTTCTGTTTTTGTTTTCTTTGAATCAATTATCATGGCTTAGTGAAGGAGCTTCATTTGTTGACGTTATATTGTAGATTCTTGTTCTCGATAACCTTATACATGGTTTTTTTTTTCAGCTAGTATTTGCTTTATTTAGGTTTAAAGTTCACTTACTAGCTGATTCATCATGTTAAATTTTAGGAAAAGGATTGGAACTTTGATGAGTTTGCGTTAGTGTGAGGAGAATTTTCTGTGCTCTGATGTTAATATCTCTAAATGGTTTGAAGTTTACTATCTGATTATGGTGAATTTAGAAAAAAGATTGGAACTTTCATGAGTTTGAGTTAAGGTGGGGAGAATTTTCTGTGCTATGATGTTAATATCTTTAAAATGGTTTAAATTTTGCTATCTGATTATGTTATTATTTAGAAAAAAGATTGCAACTTTCATGAATTTGGGTTAATGTGGGGAGAATTTTCTGTACTATGATGTTTTTTCTCTCCAAAATATATCACTTCTTTAGAGTTGGAGTTTGCTTGCTGATTATGTCATATATATATTTTAACAATAATTGTGAGTTTAGATTATGTTTTTTTTTTTATTTCGTTGACAGCCTTGCCAATATCGTCTCTCTTCCCTTTCCTTTACTTCATGGTAATGATTAACTTGCAACCTTGACCTCGGTTTTCCTTTGTCTAATCGAAAAATAAAATTCAACACGTTCTGTTTATTTTTCTGGTTAGAGTAATTAGGTACTCTAATTAATTATTTCACATTCTGCATAATGCAGGTTAGGGACTTCCATATTGCAAAAAGGGAGGAAGATATAAGTTCGTATGCCGGTTATGTGGGTCCGTGTATTATTTTAACATTTATCAATCTTGTGTAAGATAATTTTTTTGTTCAGCTATTGTTTTAAGTTTGAATATTATGATTCTTGTAGGAGCTTCATTCATGTGTGGCAGAGCTTTCACTTCTCTTCTATGGGGATTTATTTCTGATAAATATGGTCGGAAGCCAGTAATTATCTTCGGCACAATTACAGTGTGGGAATTGGAATAATCATCTTCACTTATTATTTTTTTCCTTAATCTATATATGTATATATTAATCTTCTTCATTTTGGTACAATTTTTCAGAGTTGTTTTCAATGCACTTTTTGGCCTTAGCGTAAATTATTGGATGGCAATTTCTACAAGGTTTCTTCTCGGAAGTTTATGCGGAATGCTAGGTCCTTTGAGGGTAGGTCAATTTTAAATCTTCTTAGTGATGCAAAGCTGTCTATTATATATATGATGGATTTTTACATTTTTTTTCCCCAAAATTTACAGGCATATTCTTCTGAAATTTGTCGAAGAGAATACCAAGCTTTAGGGATGTCGGTAGTGAGTTTCATCATCATTCTTGTTCTTGTTTCCACATATTTGGTCCATTATAGAAATCTCTCTCTCTCTCTCTCTCTCTTTGTTTTTTCCTTATATGAATTTGATAAGAAAATAAAATATTTTGTTCATTATAGATCAGCACATCTTGGGGTATCGGCTTAGTCATTGGTCCAGCTGTCGGTGGATTTCTTGCACAGGTAATGCATACTTTTTGCTAATCTAAGTGCCAAATCGAATGTTATTTTTGTAAAAATTGTTGTACTTTCGAATGATTTACTCAGATAATCATATACTTGTACAGTGTACATATACTTGTACAGTGTACTGTACTACCACATTTTAACTTTCTCTTTTACTATATTGAGGTGTTTATGTAGGAAAAAAAGTTTACTCCCTCGACAAATTGTTGACGTTTATTTGTTCAGCCTGCAGAGAAGTATCCCCATATATTTTCCAAAGAATCTCTATTTGGGAGGTAAAACAATTACTAACTTTGGCACAATTAGTTTCATTTTTCATCCTCTAATTTTCAAAAAATTCAAACTCTATGCCAGTTGTAATAAATTCGAAAAATCGCAGGTTTCCATATTTTTTACCTTGTTTGGTGATATCAGCCTTTGCTTTGGTGGCATTTTTCTTCTCTTACCGGCTTCCTGTACGTTTTTTTCTCCTATATTTTTATGCTTTCTTGCATCATCATAGTTTCGAATTATTCTTTTGTTGCATGAGTTAACTTAACACATTTTTATATATATCTCTCTCTATATATAGATACTTCTCAAGTATGAATATTTTGCAGGAAACTCTTCACATCCATCGTGAGGAAAATGTGAAATGGTTAGAAGAAAATACACACGAACCGATTCACTCCGAGAAAATCGAACTTCCTGAGCTAGAATCCTCTGCATCTCAAAGAAGCCTCTTAAAAAATTGGCCCTTGATATCTTCTATTATTGTGTATTGCATTTTTCAACTTCACGACATGGCCTATAGTGAGGTAAATCTGTTTCAACGTAACTTTTTGCCATCTCCCGAGAATTTTTTATTTGTCGTTTTATTACACCATTATTTTAGATATTCTCCTTGTGGGCTGTAAGTCCAAAGAATCTTGGGGGATTAAATTTCACTACAACAATTGTTGGAGAAGTTCTTGCAATCACAGGTACACAACACACATCTTTTTTAATTACTGTTAGTTCCAAAATTACGTAAAAATGTCTAATAATTGGTCCATCTGCTCGATTATTCAGGGTTCGGTTTGGTAGTTTTTCAGCTCTTTGTATATACTTGGGTGGAGAGCTTGTTGGGGCCTGTTATGGTTGCTCGTATTGGAGCTGTATGTGTTTTTCGTAAAAAACCGTGCACTTTTCATGCATCTTTTTTTTATTTGCCATTTTTAACTATCCGTTTTGCAGGTCATTTCAATACCATTGCTGTCGAGTTACCCGTTTATAGCCAGATTATCTGGTCCGCTTCTCTTTTTGGCGCTTAATTCGGCCTCTATGTTGAAGAATGTACTCTATGTGAGTTCGTTTTAAATTTTACTTGGACATTTTGTAATTTTTATTTTTTTCTTTCGATTTCTGATAATCCATGGTAAATCATAATCAAGATATCCATCATGACCGGCTTGTTGGTTCTTCAAAACAGAGCTGTGGTAAAATTCCTCTCCTTTTTTTTTCTTGATTTGGTTATTTTAGTTTGACCTTCGATAATCGAATTGATTTACGAATCTCGATTTACATTTAATTCAGTCCCAAGAACAAAGAGGAGCTGCAAATGGCATATCTATGACTGCTATGTCGGTTTGTAAAGCAATTGGGCCTGCAGCCGGTGGTTCATTGTGAGTTTGCGCTCGTTTTCTTCTCTGCTCGTCGGCTTTTGTTGATATTTTATAATGGTTTGAGCTTCGCACATTTAATAACGCTTCTTATTATTCACAATTTCAAGAATGATGAAAGCTTGAGATTCGCATAATGAGTCACATAGTATGGATTTGATTGGTTTTTTTGTTAACCATAGTTAATTTTGGGAAATGTGGTATGATTAGTTGTTAGTGAGAATTTATTTTTAAATTAAAATAATAGATAAAATAAAATAATTAAAGTTGATTTGATGTAATTAAAAGAAGGAAAAAAATGATTGGAAATGATGGTTACTTAAAATTAAATTATGTGGGTGAATGCATCTATATATATATAATTACTAGCTAATAGCATTAAATAAAACCTATTTAATTTTACCTATGTGGCAATTTAATAATTATCCCTCCAAAAATCGTTACATTTTGATGTATTTAATCTTTCATTTAATCATTAAATAATTAATACTCATCACTTCAAAATTACAAAAATCATTTTAAACTTTTGATTAATGACAGTTGACCATATAATGTGTTGACCGTATAATGTGATTAGATGTTATTATTGTTGTTACATTTAATTTTGTTTTTTTTTTAAAATAAAAAATATATTTGAAATTCCTAAATAAATAATAAATAATTCATAAATAAAAGACGTACCAAAATATACATTACATCCAATCAGATAAACGCAATTTTTAAAAAAAAAATATTCCAACTCTTTTAATTGTAAATTTGGTCTGCAAAAAAGTGAAAGAAAAATAATTATCATTATATGCATACAGATTCACAATAATTTATTTATATCTGTGCAAATGCACAGGTCGAATACTAGTAGTGAATCAAAGTTGATGTGATGTGTAAGAATTATTGGTTGATATTATTTAAATATATTGATAATATTGAGGATAGTGGGGTTGAGTTAAAGTTAAATTAGATTTGAGTTAAAAAAAAGTGATTGGTTAAAAATGATTGGATTTTTTTAGGATGCTTTGTATCCAAGCATTCTCATAATTTTCGTGCTACTTATGTATAGGAAAACATTATGGTAAAGCAGCAACTGGAAGCACTGCTGCATGAAAATACTATTTTGAAGCGAGCTGTTTCTATCCAACATGAGAGACAGAAGGCAGTTGAGGAAATGGGTCAGGAATTGCATCAGCTAAAACAGCTGGTGTCTCAGTACCAGGAGCAAGTCCGAACACTTGAGGTCAGATTTACAACCCTAAAACTCCACGATTTCATAATTTAGTTAGTTAGGAAAATCATTTCTAGGGATGGCAATATAAGATTGAGCTGTGATACAAGATTATGTCAAGATTTCCTGTCAGAAATTTCTATGCATATTATTTCGTACTTTCTGTTGTTTGATCAGAACAGAAGTGAATAAAGTATATGTTGTAATAAATTCCACCTAGCTCACGATTCACTCTATGTTGGATGTTACTAAAACTGTTTTAGCGTCGTGCGGAATGTACTTGGCAGTCCACACTTCACTGGTGGCTGGAAGGACTAAGTTTTAAACTGGAACTGTATTTTGTATAATCCATTCTCAAGACAGTCATACATTTTGTAAGCCCTTTATAGAAAGAATATCTCTAGTTAGTATGCTTACGCGCNCTTGTGGTTTTGATGATGAGCTTGTGGCTTAAAAACTAAAAATGTTTGGTATAAGCATTTTTTTTTTTGGCTAAATTGCATGTTAATTTTCAACTTTTGCTTGCAATTTAATCTCAACCTTTCAAATTTGGCGATAAAAAAAAAAACAAGCTTTAATTATTTGCAAATTGAAGCGTTCGGTCAATGAATTGACTGTCAGAAGATTACATGTCTAGATCGGTATCTGAGGTAAAGTTCGAAAAGACTATACGTCAAAGTTTCGAAAAATAAAATGAAAAAATACACATTACCCTCTAAAATATATGGGGCTCTTGAAAACCCGATTTATAATACTTGGAGAAAATTGAAAATTCATAAATTTCCAACTCACTCATGAACTTTAATCGAGAACAAATCTCAGCATATTCAAATGCCATAAGAGAATTTGTACTGAACACCACAAAAATTAATGAAGTAATAAAGCTTTAAGTGTGAAATAAGAACATCAAACTCAACTTCAATTTTGTTTTTATTTTTCTCATTTGTGATGTATCGATTTCCTATCTCCACACCACATAACGAGCCGGACAAATAAACATCTGTGGCCCGATTTGTGAATGCGTGTTTTGGTTTAAAAATCAATAGCTCGTTTCTTTTGTTACTAAAATGCGAAATAAAGATTGTGATCCAATAGGAAAATGCTAAAATCTCGTTACGGAACTGTAATCCTTAGATCATCAAGTAATCGTCAATGATAGTTGATCACGGTTACAAATCCCAATGGAATGATTCCGTAACGAGATTGTAGCTTTACCCCAATTTCTAATTTTGCTTTTTTTTTGGGATATTGCATATTGCCCCCTAAAAGTTTTTAGTTTTATGAATTAATTTATTCACTTTTATCTCATACTCAAAATCTAACTCAACTTTAATTTAACTCCACTATCTTTAATATTATTCATATAATTAAATAATACTCCCTCCATTTTGAAATATAAGGCCTATAAAGATTTCTCAATTTTTTTGAAATATAAGGCGCGCTCAAAAATCAAGACAAATTTTTGCATTTTTTTCCAAATATACCCTCATTGTGTTGACATTAAGGAAGTGTGGAATGGTTGTGATTAGAGTAAATAAGGTTAATTTAGTCAATTTATTCATTAATTAATGTCTCCTTAATATTTGTGCAATAACCTTAAATGCCTTATATTTCAAAATGGAGGGAGTACAAACCAATCATTCTTACACATCACATCAACTTTAATTCACTATTTCTACTCACATAATTTTAACTACCTATCATTTCCAATCATTTATCTCCTATTTTGACATCAAATCAATTTTAATCATTGTATATTATTTTGATACACTCTTAAAATTTTACTAACAACTAATTATATCACATTTTTTAAAATTAACTACAATTAACCAAAATAACTCATTTTAAATAAATTATTTATCGAACAATCAAGCCCTACACAACTATGCCCCATCTCAAAGCAAACTCAAATAACCAAACCCACCTGCGACTTGCGAGCGAATTCACCGAGTGCACCAGAAAAACTCGCAGCACAAACGATCAATCGCCATGAAAATTCCATAACAAACCCGTGGAAAAAACAGTTTAAGAACCTTGAAATCGATGTAAAAGAGATGGCTAATCCGCGAAGAACCTCGTATTCCTCGAACCAGCTCCCGATTTCGGACCCGATCCCACAATTCCAGTTCCAAACCCATCAATCGGCGGCGACCCTGTTGAATTCCCTCAAGATTTTCCTCAAAAAGCCTCACGCGTTCCCTTTTCTCCTCTCCATTTTCCTTCTCCTCACGTGGGTCTCGCTTAGATTCCAGCACCGTTACTCCAATCCTGCGTTTCAACGGTCTTCGTACGCTGGGGACGCGAAAAACGGAGGTTTTTTTAAGGATTCAAATTCGAATCTTGTGAAGTTCCCATCTTTTTCCTCTCTCGTGATGAGGGACAAGCGCGGCTGGTTGATTAATCCCGTTTCACTTGCCTTGGATTCTGGCATTCAAGGTGTGGGTGTGTGTTCTGCTCATATGGTGTGGAAAGTTATAGACTTTGATGCATAGGGCATTTTAGGTTATGTTGATTCTTATTGCTCGAATAAGCAAATGAAGGTTTTTTTTTTTTTTTTTTTTTNCTGTAATTTACACCAATTTGAAGCTGCAACTCTTGGATTGTTGAAAAGAAACTATCTATTTTGATGTTGTTGTTGTTCCCTTTATAGCCTTATGTTGATTTCTTGAGTGCTGTTAGAATTTTGAACTATTGATTTATGCAATAAGTAAGCAATTAGGTGTACAACACACGAAAACATATCTCAGAATAGAACTTAAGTGTTTGCTCATATCTCTGCAGTTTGTTATTTCAATGTGTTCGAAAATCTGTGATCTCTGTTGTGTTATATCTAGCCGTGTAGAAATTGTAATGAAGACTATTCATTTATTGATATCCTATTTGTATATGTTCTTAAGCGCTGTTTTAGAATGTTTTTCTCAATTAGGTGGATGTTTAATTTAATTTGCAGGAGGGGCTTTATATTGTGCTTCTATTCATGTGGGTGAGATTCGACCTGGAAGCTTGAGGGGAAATCATAGACACCATACTTGTAACGAGACATTTGTTATATGGGGAGCTAAAACTGTGTTCAGGGTATGTGTTATCTCACTCAATTGAGATTCTTTTGTTCCAGCAATATATGTATTCTAAGGTTTCAGAAGAAGATTACGAATGATAAAATATGGGTCTGAAAAAGCTGCGTTTATATGAAAAAGAGTACATCAGATTGCTGCAAGAGGCATTCGGCTATACCCTACTCATCTGTTTAGATAATCTTCTGGTGATAAACCCGATTATCTGAAATCGTGTGATTTTGTCAAATTTTCAGCTCGAAAACAAATCACTGGCGAGTGGGTTCTCTGAGATAACAATCGGCCCTGAAGAAGTTGCGGTGGCCGCGAGTCCTAGCGGCACTGCACATGCCTTGATGAATATCGACACGAAAAAGATCACGTTTTTCTTAGGATGTCAAGACAGCGTGATAAATTACAACGCGTCGACTACTGATTCTAATGTATGGAAAGATCTTTAGTTACCAAAATCTTTTAGTTTCCTTTTGTAAGGAGATGATTTGTGTGGCTATTTTTGCCAGGAGGCACAGTTTTTTTTTTTTTTNAACTAGTAAAGTACCTTTTCTTTTATGTAAAGTTGAGAATGAAATTTGCATGTACATCTCAGTTACATTTATGAAAGAGGGAGGTTGGATTGAGTCACTGGCTTCATTTAAGTAAAACTTACTGTTTGGAAGAGTTGGGAAAATCACCCCTGAAGTTTAGGAAAACTATACAAGTCTTCTGTTTTCTTTCAAAGCCACAATTTACCTGTTTTCTAGAGATTTTTTATCCCAGAAAAGGACCCCATTTTGAAGGGGTAATTTTGTGAGAAGAGAAACAATGGTGATTTAAGACAATAATGATTTTACAAGATACTCAATAGTCAATACAGTATGTAACATAAGCAACAGGACATGGATTTTGTTCATATGATTAGAAAAAAAATAAAAAATAAAAACTGCTATAAAAAAAAAATTCGAAATATTCTTTTCAGCTCGTCGCCTTTGGTCCGCCCAAGAAAACGGCATCGGCATTTTCGTCACTGCAATACAGACACGGATGCTGGTTCCCCAAATGCTGTAAAGAAAGAACCTTTCGAGCCATGGCCACAATTTCCCGATTACTCAAATCCCTCTTCAGATTCTCCTTCACCACCGTTTGAACGGCATTGCTGAAGGCGCCACACGCGCTTCCCGCAAATTCCACGTCAGCAGAGGTCTCGTCCGCCTGGCACCCGCTCAGCAGTATCCCCTCGTCATCCTTCAGCGGCCTGTCGACCGGGCCGGGCTGGAACATGAGGCTGGCGTCCGGCCCGAAAACCTCCGCCAGGTGTTCGCCTATCTCTGTGCTGGTTTTGCTTGTTAGTGAGGTAAAATACTCAAGTATAGACTGGAGAGGGATAGCCTTGGGCTTTTGGTGGGGCCCACTATTGAAATGGGCCGTACAAGGGCCCATTTGTTCCTTTTCTTTGTCGATAAGTCCTCCGCTGTGGCACGAGTCGGAGAGGATCGTGAACTTTACTCCACTCGGGACACGGTTCACAAGCTCCCTGAAGTCCACACCTAATAAAATGTAATAAAAATGCAGAGCAAATTAATTGAGTTTTATTCAATATACTTTAATGCTATTTAGTATTTTTTGTTACTTTTAACTTACTGGTGATGAGATTGAAATCACAAGGTACAATAGCTTCCTCTCTCTTGGATAAACCGTGACGCTTGATAAGAGTCCCGTGGCCAGAGTAGTGAAAGAACAAGACATCTCCTTTTTTGGCCCGATCGACCATTTCGTTTAGTGCGGTCTTGATGTTGGCTCCAGTTGGCATTATTGGGCTTCCGGGCTTGTCCATCATAAGCCCAATGTTATCTGGGCTGAATCCGAATCGGGCTATGAGCAAGTCACGCATGGCTAACGCGTCATTATGGCAACCGCGCAGCTCGTTTGGGGTGTTGAGATAGTTGCAACCCACAATAAGGGCCATTTTTTTGCCTTGCTCCATATGTTTGTGTGTTTATGTTTGTTTGAAACTTGGTTGAAGAAAGTATGAATATTAGAGTGAATGTGATGGGATACATGGGAATGGTGAGGGTTTTTTTAGTTCTATTTAAAGAGATGGACTTGTTGGCTTGTGGTGTTGGATTAAATGTTGCTTTTGAGCAAGGGAATTTAAGAGAATTTTAAGTAGAAGCAAGGACAATATTTCTTATGAAGCGACTTGAAAGCTACATTATAGGAATTTTGGTCACTACTAATGTTCAAATGTTATGATTCAATAAAGTATGTCATATATCAAATGCAGGCGGCTCAGGCTCTGTGGCTGGCGGCTGATCAGGCTCCGTGGTTGGCGGCTCAGGCTCTGTGGCAGGCGGTTGGGACTCCGTTGAGTTTTGACAACCGGACAAACAATAGCAAAATACTTCTGTTCGAATCGACATTGAAAGAACATTCGAAGTCCTCAGCTCCTTCTAATCTCGAGCAACGCTTGGCACAGTCAAATGGTTCACAGTTGCGTGGTTCGGCCTCCCAACACTTGCTTCTGAATTTATGTGTGCAATGTTTAGCGCGCTCAACGTGATCCAACCTCCCAATTATAGTTCCTGTTTAAATACATTTGTATATTATAATGTCTATATGTCATCGATCGATTTTCAAAATTATTACATCTCCAACAAATTCAAATGAATGTCAGTTCTATATCTACTGTTTTGAAAAGAATGAAAAATAATGATAATTTCTTAAAAGTGATGTGTTATATATTTGATGATATGTTATGTGTTAGACATGCTTAATGGTTAGGTGACCATACTTTTTCAATTGATATATATACTTTCAAGCTGAAATGTCATACTCGACAAACAACATAAGTAAAAGTATGATATTTCATCGTATAAGCATGCATATTTTTATTATATGATTGGTCAACCTGCTTAATGGTTAGGTGACCATACTTTTTCAATTGATATACATACTTTCAAGCTGAAATGTCATACTCGACAAACAACATAAGTAAAAGTATGATATTTCATCGTATAAGCATGCATATTTTTATTATATAATTGGTCAACCTGCCTAATAGTTAGGCAGTCTCCTGTACTATCCTAATAGATAAAATGAAATTGTATTGTGCTAATTGAGAGGCTCTTATATTGCGAGTGTGTGTACCCGACAACAAGAGAGTAAAAACCAGGCTGATGGTGTTCATATTCTTCTCCATGTTTGGATACTTCTATTGGTGATTTTAACTGTGTTTTATAAGCCACTCTGATTAATTTCTTGCAAATGGAAGAACAAATAGATAATTAATTTTGTACCAATCTTAATTGATTCTTGATAAAGTATGACCCGTAATAGAGAGAAAAAGGGAGTAGTTTTTTTTTCCTCACATAATTTGAGACTTTTTGACATAAAATGAAGGTTTTGTGAGCATTTACTTAGTACAGGTCCATTAAAAAGGTTCAAAGTTGAGATCAGTAAAGAAGTTAATACATATTTGCTAAACAACTTGTTAGTTAAAACTTAAATAATGCGTTCTAAAAGTAAATTACTCTCAATCCTATTTTATCAAGAATGAATAGGATTTATACACATTAATGTATTTGTCTTTCAGCTAAAGGAAAAAAAAANTAAACAAGAAAAAAATTGGCACTGAGCATGTAAATCAATCACATACATTTTTTTTCTTCTTTTTTTTTTTTTTTTTTCTTTTTATTCGATACAACATACATTCTTCTTTCTCTTCCTTGCGCATCTACACATACAACTAGTACTTTGTACATATACAGGTCCGATCCAACTAAAAAGTTGAGATTAGTATACAAGTTTGTTAATATACATTTGGTAAACAACTTGTTAGCTAAATAATGAATGGGTGGTTAAATTAAAGAAATTACTCTCCTTTTTTTATGTTTTTATTTTTATTTTTTGAATGTTAATATTAGTGGTCCTAGTTAGTTTATCAAGAATCAATCAATTAATAAGTTGAAACACAAGCCAATAATCTAATCTGTTGAGGTAAAGGAAACACAATTGTGTTGAAATGAATAAAGTGCACCAAGTAAATCAAACAAAGAATTGGAAGTAAGCATGCATGTAAATCAATAAGAGATGTTAATTAGCAATCAATTAAGAGAAGGCTGTACTGTAAGGAAGCAAGAAGACCAACAAATTAGATATATAGAAGTTTTAAAGTAACGCTGGAATAGATTTTGAAGCACTGATGACACTAATTAATGGTATGGAATTAATTAAAGTAGAAACAATGAACTCATATTGATCAGAAACAATCTAACCAAGATTAATAGGGAAAAAATAACATGGATGGTTAATTTTCTGTAGTTTTATTCAGACAGACACACAGACTCATATAATTGGGTCGATAGTTCCCGGGCAGAATCTTTAGCTCTTCCTTAACAATGAGGTGGCAGCTGCAGCAAGAATCTGCGATGATAGTGAAAGTGACTGCTCTCGGTACCCAATTGACCAGCACCCGGAAGTCAACACTTGCCCATTATTATATTAAATTAAAGGAAAATAAAATAATTGATTGATTGGTGTAATTTCAGGATTAATTATTAAATTCAAAAAAGAGTAAGGTATCACCTGGTTTTGGTCTTGCTAGTTGCTACCATCGCATCCAGTGTTCTCTTGATGTTGCGTGCCGTAGCCCGTAGGCATTGTGTTTGTGTTGCTTCCTGACTTGTCGGTCATCAGATGAATGTTCTCAGACCGGAAACTCAGATGACTGTGGAGAACCTGGATCCTAAACCGACCAAAACAATAATAATAATTAATTAATGCATAAAACCTCTCTATCTAATGGCTAAAACCTTTCCTTTCATCTAATGGCTAAAATTTTTTACGGAATCATTCGGTGACGGGATTGTAGTCTTTTCTATTAATTAACTATTATTATTGATTTGGTCTGGTCCGGATCCAAGTTCTCCAAAGTCATCTGGGTTTCCAGTCTGAGAACATTCATCTGATGACCGACAAGCCGGGAAGCAACACAAACACAAGCGTAGGCTACCGCACGCAACATAAAGAGAGCATTGGATAAACATGTAACTTCCATGTATCTATAATAACTGTATATTTAAGGGCTAAAAACTCTCACAGAATCATTTCGTGGGGATTGTAGCATTTTCCACAATTTTATATACTAGATTAATAAACCTAAGCCAAACTTATTACGGGTCCCACGATTTTTATGTAAATTGTTCATCATTACTTGGTTTTCTCGGCGGCTGGCCTCTCGGCTTCATCGTAACATTGAAATGTTATTTTTTCTTTTAAATAAGGGAAATGTCTAAACTTTTGATCTTTTATATTATCAGAAATGTTTAAAATATTTTTCCTTATTTTAATTTTTTTACTTGTAGATATAATGAAAAAATTATTAACCATACATTTTCTTTTTTTGTATAATTAAAAATTTAAAACAAGAAATACAAATTGAAACATTAAATGTTCAAAATTGATAAGGAGTATTAATAGATTAATATACAAAATACTTAAAAAAAACAAATAATAATATTTTAATCACAAAATTTGATCCAAATAAGTATTTTGTTAACATATTATATACTATGAAGTATGAACATAATGAATAAATTTAGTAAATTTTTCATAAACTTTCATTACTTATGAATCAAGAACAATACCTCATCAGTGGCCATTGTTTTGAGAAGTAAACTCTGAAAGAGAAGCTTAGCAAATAGGAGAAAGTATATAAAAAGGCTGAGATTGCTTTGTGTGATTGGGAGTCATATAGAGGGTATTTATAGTGATGCAAATTATCGTTTGAAAGATTAAGATAATAGAAAAGGGATGGGCATTAAAATAATATTGGGAAATTGACATAATATATAAAAGTATGATGGTGCATATGATGACACATAAAGGTTGATGGAATAGTTGTAAAATTGATTTTACTTTAACATTGTTTGGCCCGTTTTCGCCAACTGGACCACAGAAGCCCATAATTAAAGCGATGATGTGTTTGTTTAGTTTATTGTTTAGAGGGTTAGAAAAATTAAGCAAAAAAATATTTAAATTGTCGATGAATTAATGTGCCTACATCAGTGATTTTTATAGAGGATCTGGACCGCACTGTGGCTTCATTTGTAATTTTGTACACACACATTAAGAATAAGAAAAAAGTTACGTGTATAATTATTTTGTATAATATTTTATGATAACATGACGTGGCATGATGTAGATAGTTGAGATACAAATAAATGTATGGTTAAGATTTGACTCAATGATTGTGATAATTAGTGTTGTCAATGTTGTCAACTATAATTGTACATTTAGCATTGCCCTAATAATAATAATAATAATAGTAATTTCTTAATTTTTACCACCCATTATTTATCTAACAAGTTGTTTACCACTTTTTGGGTTTACTAGTAAGGTGCATGTGCGTTGCACGTGTACCGAGTTTGAATTTTAAGTTCGTAACATGTAGTTTGAAGTCGTAACATTTTTTGTTCTTGTTTAATTGAATTTTTTAATATGTGGAAAGCATAATCAATCTAAGAAAGAAATAAAATAAATAAGAAGTACAAGCTATGTAAGAATATGTAGAATAAGTACATTTGAAGGTGTTATATCCAAACATAAGTTTATAAAGAGAAGGTAGATGTTTAATTTAATTGTGGAAGTAGAAGGAACGTAATGCATAGTAAGATGGTAAATTGAGAACGATAAAAATATGTAAAATAATTTTATTAATATAGCTAAATATGAGTTGGCTTTTATAAGTAAATACTTTGTGTACAAATATATTGTCTTTTATATTTGTACAATGCATTTAGTAAAATGTCTATTACCATTTAGGTTTTAATTATGTAAATTGGCTAAAACAAAATTTTTTATATTAGTCTTCCTTAATTTAATTTTTAAATAAAAATATGAAAAATATTAAATAGTGAAGTTTGATTTTAATGTCAAAATGTATATTATAAAATAAATATTAAATTTTAAGTGTTACCGAAAATATTAATTTTTTTTAAAAATAAATTCTAATAATGTATTATTATAATAAAAATATGAATAATTTTAAATAGTGAAGTTTGATTTTAATGTCAAAATGTATATTATAAAATAAATATTAAATTTTAAGTGTTACCAAAAAATATTAATTTTTTAAAATAAATTCTAGTAATGTATTATTATGTTTAATATATCTGTCAATAACTGAAAAAAATATGGCAAAAATATTTTAATATAAGGAGTTTTTTGTTATTATGTTATTACATGTATTATATGTGGAATATACGACAATTGAGTTAAGAAAATATAAAAATACCTTGTTGCTCTTGAGAGAGAACATCAGTTGCCGACGAAATTGTTGATGGTATGAGTTCACTATGAACATTTGAATGCCTCCCTACAAGTAATCAAGTTAAATTAATGGATGAGAAGCTTAATAATTTTTTTTTAAAAAAAAATAAATTTAAAAATAATAATATGAGTTAAATTATTTTATTTATAATAGATATAGTAATACTATATTTACCTCTGCGTTGGACATGGGAGTTTGTAGTTGGGAGTTTGTTAATGTTTTGATGTCATCCTGTCTCACCTCTTCGAAAAAGAAGAGGATATTGTAAAGGATCGTAACACTTTAATGCTATTTAGTATTTTTTGTTACTTTTAACTTACTGGTGCTGAGATTGAAATCACAAGGTACAATAGCTTCCTCTCTCTTGGATAAACCGTGACGCTCGATCAGAGTCCCGTGGCCAGAGTAATGAAAGAACAAGACGTCTCCTTTTTTTGCCCGATCGACCATTTTGTTTAGTGCAGTCTTGATGTTGGCTCCAGTTGGCATTATTGGGCTTTCGGGCTTGTCCATCATAAGCCCAATGTTATCCGGGATGAATTCGAATCGGGCTGTGCGCAAGTCACGTATGGCTAACGCGTCGTTATGGCAACCGTGCAGCTTGTTTGGGGTGTTAGGGTAATTGCAACCCACAATTAGGGCCATTTTTTTGCCTTGCTCCATATGTTTGTGTGTTTATGCTTGTTTGAAACTTGGTTGAAGAATGTGATATGATATAGGGGAATTTTAAGGGTTTTTTAGTACTATTTAAAGAGATGGACTTGTTGGCTTGTGGTGTTGGATTAAATGTTGCTTTTGAGCAAGGGATTTTAAGAGAATTTTAAGTAGAAGCAAGGACAACATTTCTTATGAAGTGACTTGAAAGCTACATTTCAAATGTTGTGATTCAATAAAGTATGTCATATATCAAATGTTGGCAGCTCAGGCTCTGTGGCTGGCGGCTCGGGTTCCGTAGTGTTTCGACAACCGAACAAACAATAGCAATAACTTTCTTTCGAATCGACGCTGAAAGAACATTCGAAGTCCTCAGCTCCAAATTCCGAGCAACGCTTGGCACACTCAAGTGGTTCACAGTGTACTTCGTTCCAACACCTGCTTCTTACTTTATGTGTGCAGTGTTTAGCGCCCTCAACATGCTCCAACCTCCCAATTATAGCTCCTGCTTAAATACATTTGTAAATTGTATGTCTATATGTGATCGATAAATTTTCAAAATTATCACGTCTCTAACAAATTCATTTGTGTCAATTCTAAAATGATGATATGTTATGTGTTGTACCGATATTAGACATGCTTAATTGTTAGGTGACCATACTTTTTTCATGTGATATACATACTTTCAAGAAGAAATGTCATACTCGACAAACAACATAAGTAAAAGTATGATATTTGGTCATATAAGCATGCATATTTTTATTATATAATTGTCGACCCGTCTAATATTTAGGTAGTCTCGTGTACTATCTTAATCGATAAAATGAAATTGTAATGTGCTAATTGAGAGGCTCCTATATTGTGAGTGTGTGTGTGAGAGAGAGAAGCGAAGTACCCAAAAACAAGAGAGCAAAAACCAGGCTGATGGTGTTCATGTTCTTCTCCTTGTTTGGATACTTATGTTGCTGATTTTAACCGTGTCTTATAGGCCACTCTGGTTAATTTCTTGCCAATGGAAGAACAAATAGATAATTAATTTTGTACCAATCTTAATTGATTCTTGATAAAGTATGACCGTAATATAGAAAAAGCGAGTAATTACTTTTTCCCTCACATTATTTTATTTGAGGCTTTGTGATGTGACATAAAATGAAGGTTTGGTGAGCATTTACTTTGCACAGCACAGGTCTATTAAAAATGTTCAGGTATGTTGTATATAAAAAGAAAACTCACCCCATATTCAATTCATATTCAAAATTTAATTCAATTTTATCTGAATTTCACTATCTGAATATAATTAAATAATACCAACAAATCAATCTTGCACAACACAATAACTTTAATTTACTATTCATCCACTCACATAATTTTAACTAGCTATCATTTCACATTCTCTCTACCATATCTTTAAATAAAATCAACTTTAATTATTTTATTTTAAATATTATTTTAATATAAAATTAAAATCTCACTAACAACTAACCACACTACTTTTTTCAAAATTAACTATGATTAACTGAAAAAACTCATTTTGAACAGAAATATTTGTATAATCTCAAAGTTCGATTAGTATAGAAGTTAATATCTATTTGCTAAACAACTTGTTAAATAAATAATGCGTTCTAAAAGTAAATTACTCTCAATCCTATTTTATCAAGAATTAATAAGATTGATACACATTAATGTCTTTGTCTTTCAGCTAAAGGAAACAAAATTCTGTTTAAATCAAGATTGACACATATTAATCTTCTTATCATGTGCACATAGATGCAAATAAAATTTTGCATGTGTAATGTGCACTAATCCACTAGTGTTATGTACATATACAAACAGGTCCTCCGGTCCAACTAAAAAGTTGAGATTAATTAATATACATTCGGTAAACAACTTGTTAGCTAAATAATGAATGAATGGGTGGTTAAATTAAAGAAAATACTCACTTTTTTACTTTTATTTGTTTTAATATTAATATTAGTGGTCCTAGTTAGTTTATCAAGAATCAATTAATTAAAACTGAAACACAAGCCAATATTCTAATCTGTTGAGGTAAAGGAAACACAATTGTGTTGAAATGAATTAAGTGCACCAAGTAAATCAAACAAAGAATTGGAAGTAAGCATGCATGTAAATCAATGAGATTTTAATTAGCAAAGGCTTTACTGTATAGCTCGCATTTTAACACGAGATTAATACGCATAGTATGGATTTAATTGGTTTTTTTTTTTGTTATCAATAGTTAATTTGGAAAAAGAAAAGTGGTATGGTTAGTTGTTAGTGGGAATTTAAGTTTAAATTAAAATAATAGTTTTTATTAAAGTTGATTTGATGTAAAAATAAGAGAAAAATGATTGGAAATGATGATTACGTAAAATTATATGAGTAAATGAATAATGAATTAAAGTTGATGAGATGTGTAACAATCCGAATGTTTTCTGGGCTGAATCCGAATCGGACTATGAGCAAGTCACGCATGGCTAACGCATCATTATGGCAACCGTGCAGCTCGTTTGGGGTGTTAGGATAGTTGCAACCCACGATAAGGGCCATTTTTTTTGCCTTGCTCCATATGTTTGTGTGTTTATGCTTGTTTGAAACTTGGTTGAAGAATGTGATGTGATATATGGTAATGGTGAGGGTTTTGTAGTACTATTTAAAGAGATGGACTTGTTGGGTTATGGTGTTGTAGTAAAATGTTGCTTTTGAGCAAGGGAATTTAAGAGAATTTTACGCAAGGACAATATTTCTTATGAAGTGACTTGAAAGCTACATTATAGGAATTTTGGTCACTACTAATGTTCAAATGTTATGATTCAATAAAGTATGTCATATATCAAATGTAGGGGGCTCAGGCTCTGTGGCTGGCGGCTGATCAGGCTCCGTGGCTGGCGACTCAGGCTCTGTGTCAGGCGGTTGGGATTCCGTGGAGTTTCGACAACCAGATAAACAATAGCAAGAACTTCCGTTTGAATCGTCGTCGAAAGAACATTCGTAGTCCTCAGCTCGTTCTATTCTCGAGCAACGCTTCGCACAATCAAATGGTTCACAGTTGAGTGGTTCAGCCGCCCAAGACTTGCTTCTGAATTTAAATTTGCAGTGTTTAGCGCCCACAACGTACTCCAACCTCCCAATTATAGCTCCTGTTAAATAGGTATATAAATTGTATGTCTATAAGTGACGGATTGATTTTTCAAAATTATTACATCTCTAACAAATTCAGTTCAGCAAGTTGGTCACATTGACCGGTTTTTCTCGATGGAATGACCTAAATTTAGTAAAATCAATGTAATCACCGGCCTATTTATCAAATTGTTGTCAGTTACAGTACTAAATCTTTACATTTTCCAAAAATGATGATACGTTATGTGCAGTATCGATGTTAGACATGCTTAATGGTTAGGTGACCATACTTTTTTCAAGTGATATACATACTGTCAAGATGAAATGTCATACTCGACAAACAACATAAGTTAAAGTATGATATTTCATCGTATAAGCATGCACATTTTTATTATATGATTGGTTGACGAGCCTAATAGTTAGGCAGTCTCGTGTACTACCCCTAATAGATAAAATGAAATTGTATTGTGCTAATTGAGAGGCTTTTATATTGTGATTGTGTGTGAGGGAGAGAGAGAGAAGCGAAGTACCCCACAACAAGAGAGCAAAAACCAGACTGATGGTGTTCATATTCTTCTCCATGTTTGTATACTTCTGTAGGTGATTTTAACTGTGTTTTATAGGCCACTGCGATTTCTTGCAAATGGAAGAACAAATAGACAATTAATTAATTTTGTACCAATCTTAATTGATTCTTGATAAAGTATGACCAATAATATAGTAAAAGAGAGTAGTTTTTTTTTTTTCCTCACATAATTTGAGACTTTGTGAGTTGTGACCTAAAAATGAAGGTTAAATTTTGGTGAACATATTTACTTTGTACAGGTCCATTAAAAAGGTTCATAGTTGAGATTAGTATAGAAGTTAATACATATTTGCTAAACAACTTGTTAGTTAGATAATGCGTTCCAAAAGTAAATTACTCTCAATTTCTTTTTTACTAGTCCTATTTTATCAAGACTTAATAAGGTTGATACAAATTAATGTCTCTGTCTAAATCAACTCCAAAAAATACACCAAAGTAAACAAGAAAAAGATTGGCACTGAGCAAGTAAATCAATCACATACATTTTTTATTTTTTTTTTTTTTTACAGCATACATTATTCTTTCTCTTCCACGCGCATGTACACATTTTTTTCTGTATTATACGTGTGGTATGTAGTATTTTAAATTACAAGTTAGATAATAAGCATATCATATTTTATATATTTTATCATTAGTACAAATAAATAATATAAATATAAATTAATTAATTAATTTTTATATTGATTGCAATAATACAACTTTTGGAATCTTGACTGATTATGATCAATTAATTAGATAAAATAATATTGAAATTATTATTATAGCAATTGTGTACGAAATCATAACGGGTTTGGTTATGCCATTAAATTAACTAATTAAAAAAAAATAACTTGCTTAATGAGCTGAAAAAAATAATATTTAAATAAATAGTTTGAAAAAGAAAACTAGAATAGAATATTATTTAATGTGACTTTATGATTAGTTATTAGTAATCATTATGTAATAAAATAATAAAAATATAGTTATTTTATTAATGCAAACATAACGGAAAAGAGCGGAAAACGAATACAATTATTATAGTTTTTTTTCAACAATTATATATACAGCGGTGGATCCAGAAATTTTTACGAGCCAGGGCAAAAAATAGTTGAAATTTATATTGCACAAAGTACTTATATTAATAATTAAATAAATTGTTGAATCAATCGGGTCTTGATGAGTTCCCTATTCAATATGTCTTTGAATTGATGCTAAAAACTGAAATGGAGAATGAAGTCTGGTTATTTGATTTCACGTTTTAATTATTATTAATAAATATACAAAAAATATTATACAATCCCGTTTTCATAATTTTTTGTATAAGTTATATGTAAAAAATTTATTTTGAAATAAAATTTATTAATTGAACAAAAAAGCCTAATTGTCATCATTTTAGGTTATGTCATTTTATGAAGAGTTCCTTATGGCTTATCTTCTTACCTATAAATGTAGAGTTTTTTTTATCCATGTTTATTAGAACTTTCAAATTTAAACCCTTGGCTAACTTAAATTGTAAATATTTTTAAAATTTAATAACATTTATATTTGTTATCAATTTTTATTTATTATAAATTAAACTAATCATATTTTGACGATCTATAGTTTGACATTAATATCTTATATATAATTAAAAAAATTATATCAATCATCTTCCTATCAATAAAAAATTAAATATATATTAACTATGACTAAAAAACAATAAATTTATCAATCAAGTCTATTATACATTATAAATACTAAAAAAATTTTAACACAGTGCATTCAAATTTGACAGGTGAGGTGTATCATTCTATATATTACCTCCGTTTTTGTTTATTTGAGTTTTGATGATATATGCAAACTCTAAGTTTGGGGAGGTGGTTTCTTGGTGAGCATTCATGATTTATTATGTCATTGTATATGTGCCCCTTAGAGTTTGAGGTCTTAGATTTAATTGCATGATATTTGTTTGTCTTGTGTGAGCTTGAGATTGCATGTACGTGGAATTTTGCGATGATGACATGAGAGTCGGATTGAATTTATTGTGCTAGTTTAGATGGCTTGAGTTAATTTTATTTGGTTAAATTCTTAAGGTGTTTTTATTTTGGGGACAAAGGCATGATGGTTGATATTTTTGTGATCCATTTGTGGTGAGTTGGTTTTGAGGCGATTTGTATTGTTGACATGTGCTTGTGATTCCTTTAATCAATGTTGATTAAGTTTGGGGACTCGAAGTTGAAAGTTGGGGTTTCTATGTCTCATAGTCGAAAAAAAAAGAATAATGAGGATGGAAGAATAATTGGTGGAGTTGAAAAGCCGTTTGGCACAAAAAAAAAATGAAAACAAAAAGAGAGAGCATGGGCTGCAACAGCTGCCAATCTGTGGGGGCTCTAGTGTATAATTCCAATAATTTCCGTATCTAGACGAGCACGAAAGGCTAAAACCCATGGGTTGTGACGGAGCTGCCGTTCCCTACTTCTCAAATATAAGAAAAAAAAAAGAGAAAAAAAAAGGAAAAAAAAATAGAGAATGAGACATTTAGACTTCGGCTAGAAACAGAAGGGAACTTGACTGGTTAGCAAAGAGAGGGGTGTCATGAGTTGCATTGATCGATACATTCGTTATAAAGATTGACAAACTGTGGTGGTCACTTGGATTGATACTTGATGTGTTTGAGTTCCTACAATGATTTCATCTTGAGTTCGGATAAATTGATTTGAGTTGTTTGAGCTATGTAC